CTATATTTTCCGCATTTTACAACATTTTGCAACGAAACTTTGGAATATTACTAATTTTGTGATGCTCTTTCAAGCTGTAATGAAATTTTTGTTGAGATCAAAATTTAGTCTATTACGCAAATGGTCAATTAGATGGATTTAATCATAACAAAGTGTAAACAAAATATGTAAATCGCATTACAGAATATAATATAATAAAAACTATAAAATATACAGGAAGCTAAGACAATTACTACAAAAAGTAATAATCAAAACAAAACCAAACAAAAGTGGGAATAAGGTAAAAGTAAAATGCTGTCAATGTGTGCTTAGGACAGGCAAGGACAGAAGGAATTAAACATAGGAAAAGCGTTCATTAATACCAGAAGGGTGAACAGTGCCAAATTTGGATATGAGGCGCATTTCATGTCGTTTGCGGCTATCATTAGCGAGCTTAAGATGCACCAAATCTACGACGCGGACGTGACATAAAAACCGTTGCTAATGGTTGGAATCCAGTTTTTTTTTTCTTCACTTGTGTCTCTGACTTTGTTTACCAACTGGAGGCCATAATTTTTATCCGTGTAGTAAAACTGTGGGAATAGTTACAGTGTTTCTTCACGTCCGCGTCGTAGATTTGGTGCATCTTAAGCTCGCTATTGCTTCCAGAAATGGGACAGAGGGCTCGAATTACCATATCTGAAACCACATCTGTTGCAAGAGATGCAGTAGATGAGATGGGAGGAGGCGCACGTGAAATGGTGCTTGATGTGAAAATCAGATTTAGGTGCCGAAACAATAGTGGTAGAATCTACAAAACCACAGGTTTTACATTTCGACGACAGGCAAGGAAAAGTGCCTTTCTGTGACGTCGAAGCCTGTGCTAGGGAGCTATGGACTAGGGTTTCACGGATATTTTTGCTGTGTCGAAAAGAGACTAAGGGGTTATCGGAGAAAATGGAAGATGTTTCAGGGTCGTTTTTCAAAATATGGAAATTCTTATTGATGACATCTCTAACTTTGAAATTGAAAGGATGATAATTTAAAACTAGGGGGATTTTGTTGTTGCCTGTGATATATTAGACACAGGGTCTGTGAGGGTGTCAGAACGGGAAATTTGGGAGGCCTTCGAAAAGGCAGTATCTAATGGAGAGGTAGGATAACCACATTGGACAAAAAAGTGTCTCATCTCCAAACCTTTGGCCTGAAAATCTTCGTCTTCACTGCAGATGCGGCGAAGACGAAGGAACTGGGAGAAGGAAATCGACCTTTTGGTGTGGTTGGGGTGGGAAGAGGAAAATAGAGTCTTCGCCGCATCTGCAGTGAAGACGAAGATTTTCAGGCCAAAGGTTTGGAGATGAGACACTTTTTTGTCCAACGTGGTTATCCTACCTCTCTATTAGACACTGCCTTTTCGAAGGCCTCCCAAATTCCCCGTTCTGATACCCTCACAGACCCTGTGTCTAATATATCACAGGCAACAACAAAATCCCCCTAGTTTTAAACTATCATCCTTTCAATTTCAAAGTTAGAGATGTCATCAATAAGAATTTCCATATTTTGAAAAACGACCCTGAAACATCTTCCATTTTCTCCGATAACCCCTTAGTCTCTTTTCGACACAGCAAAAATATCCGTGAAACCCTAGTCCATAGCTCCCTAGCACAGGCTTCGACGTCACAGAAAGGCACTTTTCCTTGCCTGTCGTCGAAATGTAAAACCTGTGATTTTGTAGATTCTACCACTATTGTTTCGGCACCTAAATCTGATTTTCACATCAAGCACCATTTCACGTGCGCCTCCTCCCATCTCATCTACTGCATCTCTTGCAGCAGATGTGGTTTCAGATATGGTAATTCGAGCCCTCTGTCCCATTTCTGGAAGCAATGATAGCCGCAAACGACATGAAATGCGCCTCATATCCAAACTTGGCACTGTTCACCCTTCTGGTATTAATTTAATGAACGCTTTTCCTATGTTTAATTCCTTCTGTCCTTGCCTGTCCTAAGCAGACAATGACAACATTTTACTTTTACCTTATTCCCACTTTTGTTTGGTTTGGTTTTGATTATTATTTTTTGTAGTAATTGTCTTAGCTTCCTGTATATTTTATAGTTTTTATTATATTATATTCTGTAATGCGATTTACATATTTTGTTTACACTATGTTATGATTAAATCCATCTAATTGGTTTATTTTTTGTCACGTGATGCTTTCATACTCTTAGCTGCTCTTAGTATAAGAGCCCGTGCATTTCTTTCCCGATCCCTGCTACCTTTGCTGCTACTAACTCTTGACGAAGGGCCTTCGCTCGAAACGTCGAGTTTCTGCTTATTTTTTAAGGTAGTAATATAACCACTCAGCACAGCATTTCTACATTGTTACTACCTACACTGGTACAGACAGTTTTAGTATGTTATCCGTTTTACAGTTGAACATCGGTGCAGTTTCAGCGGCGATGTGAGAACGCAGATTGTATGAGAGAGCCAATCTGCTTAATACTGAAGCTGTTTTGATTATACCCACAACACCTCCGCCTTTCTTTCCAGTCACATTTAACCATTCTTGAGCTTGGTCTGGACTCACTTGGTTGAAATCGGCTGCAGACCGTTTGACAACGAAATCGCCCTTCCTAAATTCCTCGAGCACTTTTGCCGGTAACTGATGCGCATCTCTAGTGGGAGATAGATTGGTCCCCATCTTGCGTAATTTGTGTGATCGTACCCCATAAAATAAGGCAGCATGCATCTGAATGAAAACAAATGCAAGTCTCATATGCCGTCACGCTGGGGCTCTATAGTAAACATTAACAAAATAGATACCATCTCCAAGTAACTCTACCAAAAATAAAAATTTGCATTTAATGATCGCTCCTCTACGAATTCATCCATGACATCTTGCAACTTGAAAATATGAAAATATATAAGTCGAAGTAGACAAGAAACGTGTAAATATTAAGGCTGGGAGACATGAAAACTTAAAATTGGCCAAAAATATTCATATAACATGTACCTTGCCGTTTTTACCGTCGTCGTCAACTTGTCGATGTCGTCGGCTTCGGATAGCTTCTCAGGGCCTGTTCATATGGGCAAAAGTTATCCCGGTTAGCGAGAAAACTTTTCGACAAGTTTATAAGCGAGATCTCACCTTGGTATGAAAATAATATGAAAAGTTACACTGCGTTCATATGAGACAAAAAGTTTTCCCGTGTACCGAGATCTCGGTGACCGGGATAATGTTTTTCCCATATGAACACACCTTTCCCGCTTAGCGGGATAACTTTCTGTCGTGTCAGCAACTTTTCAATTCAATTGATGTTCAGTGCCACGTCACAGCCGAAAACTTTACCCGGTAAGCGGGATAAAGTTTCTCCATATGAACAGAACAAAAGTATTTGGCTAGTCGAAAAAATTTCTCGTTAACCGGGATAACTTTTGCCCATATGAACAGGCCCTCAATTTCATCCGTACGATTTGCATATAAGAAGCCTCCACAATGCGTTTCACGCCATCACGTGCTCGATTGTGCTGCTACCTAAGATCCCTGCTTCTGCCCATGCTTCAGCAAGGCCACAGCCTTTGGTGTGCTGCCCAATAACCTTTAGAAAATTCATGGAAATGCGTAGTCCACCGAGATGCGGGATCAGCTCATCTTTGTATTTCGGGATAGTCCATTTGAGGTCCATTAACTTGTATTATAAAATAACATGTATATAACGCGTGCTCTGATTGGTCGAAACCCGTGTTTGGATCAGGCCATCCAAACACGGAAATTTAAAGTGAAAGTTTTTTAAAGTGAAATTTTAACACTGAAAGTTGTTGTTTTATAAAACAATTACTTTATGGTTTCCGTGTTTGGATGGCCTGATCCAAACACTTGGGAATGTTGCTCGAGTTAAGAAAAGCGTGCAAAATCACTCGCCTTCGGCATTCCCGCGTGTTTGGATCAGGCCATTGTAAAGTAAAGTAATTGTATAATACAAGGCTTGATCAACTGTGAGAACTGTGTATTCTTGCCCTAGTTGCGAGGAGATGTACATGCAGTGTCTCACTACGTATACAGTGTTCAGTGTATCAAGCTCGTGTGCTGGTGCCTGAATTATTGGCATGTAACCCACAGCAGTAATTGCCGCGCTTTCTGCACTCCATTTACTTAACGACTGAAAAAGCCGACCAGCTAGGACGTGTTTCCTTGTTTTGTCGCGTCACAAGGTTAAGACATATCGATGGCGCGTGCTTGCTGCGCAATGTCAGACTCGTCCTTTTAGTTCTCAACTGTGTACCACTCGATCTCGACGCACTCGGCAAATACTGGGCATGTTTTACCCTCGTTGATATTTGCTGGTATAAATTTTTCCATGGCTTCTGGAATTTTCAAAGTAACATTTGACGATGACTTTAACTGCGATAGTTGTGCAAAAGATATGTGGATAGGATTTACGAGATTTACGAGATCATGCCCAGCCCCTCCAAACATTAGTATAGGCAACGAAACGATCGAAAGAGTTACAAAATTCAAGCTCCTTGGAGTTACCATGTTGAATAACCTTAAATGGAAATCACATGTGCAAGATATCGTTACGAAGGCAAGTAAAAGAATTTATTAAGAGTTATACGCTATCAAAATACTCATTTTTTATATGCTCAAATTGAAACGGAGCCTTTGTGCTCGCACCACAGGAGGCCCAGGCTCGATTTGCCCGCGCCCGCCTGTGCCTTCCTTATAACGAGGGAAGGAAGGAAACATTGAGACCAAAATAGCCCAGACTGGCATATGTCACACGAAACTATCCTCGATTTTTCGCCTTTAATGTATTTCTTTCACAATTAATCGATATCCCCTGCAAGAATGATACCGTATAACTCTCAAAACAACGATGCTTTAATCAAAGAGCTTAAATTCGCTCTGAAATCCGTGAGGGAATAACAAAATTCGCCCAAAATATATCCGCGTGCCGGGTTTGCTGGACAAAAAGCGGAAGTCGTTGAACAACTCAAAATACACTCAACCCTGATTGGACAACGAAAATCAACAAACATTTCAAATTTCTGTAGTCAGTAAAGGGAGCATTCATTTTTTAGCTGGGGGGTGGGCCGGAGGAACTGATGTCTAATTCCATGCGAAAACTTGGAACCCCCAAGACAAAAGTTGATAAGAAATTATGACCCCCTATTTTTTTTACTGAAAATTTTTTGACCCCTCATCCTAACTATTAATCCACACGGTGTCATTTCCATAGCGTTTCAGGGCCGTAGGAAGCTCTTTTTGATTGTGGGGCTGAAAGCGAGGGCCAAAGGCCCGAGGAAATTTTTAAATCTAGAGTCTCTGAAATGCCATTTCCTGGCCTTTGGGGGAAGATTTGACAGAATTCTGATTGTCAGAAAACAGCGTTTTAGTATGTCGAAATTGACAATTTGGTAGTACTAAATGGGCGAAGGCATATTTAATTAACTATATATTGGATAACTAGGATAAGTTGCAGGAAACTGTGGGTACTATCTTCATTCTTTGCAGTTTGTCATGGATAATGTAGCCGCTTAAAATTAATAAAGCTTAAAATTGATCAAAATCTGCATGATTTTCAAGTCATGCAGACCTTGAAATCATGCATGATTTTGAAATCTTGCTACGGTCCTGCGTTTTCTTTCATTCATGTTTTCACACAAAAACGGATAAAAATGAAGTCAATTGACGAACATCATGGAAATGTTTTCCTATGGACTGTGTGAACAGAGCATCAAATGAGTTTTGCTTCATTGTTATAGATGACGAGATAGTTTATAGATTCTAGACCTTTTTACCATTCTTGATCCAAATATTTCCAAATTCAATAAAATCATATTGGTGATTTTTTCACTGATTATTTTTATGACCCCCTCCATTTATACCAAAACTATAAAAAGACCCACCCCTTTGAAGCATGTCAAAATTGGCTGACCCACCCCTGAATTCCTCCGGCCCACCCCCCCAGCTAAAAAATGAATGCTCCCTTAGACAGCTAGAATTCATAAAATCAGACAAATAGGAGTACAGCAAGTGAGTCAACCATACAAATTTCCATGACAACAAGTGGAACCTGACAAGTATTTGTAAGGTTCTGAATTTGTCCCGTCTGATGTGAACTTAACACATTGAGCGCCAGCACTCTTCCCTTGACAAGTAAAATTGTCTGCCGTTAAACAGAGTAAAAATACGGCAGATGATTTTACTCGTCAGGGGGAGAGTGCTGAAGCTCATTGGGTTAAATAGACACAGATAGTTTGATGTACCATTGGGCGCAAGCACTTTCCCTTGACGTGTAAAATTGTCTGACGTTAGGCAGAATAAAATAATAAAGCATGATGCATTTGGGAGCAACACAAGTTAATTAATGGGTTAAATTCAAACAATAAAATTGTGTAAGACAGTGAAAATTAAGGTTCACACCTATACGATATCTGCAATCTGGTATCCAGTCGAAAGATTGATTAAACGCAGTCTTTCTACCGAAATAATATATCTGGACTGAAATAATAAATTTGGGCAAATCTGGGTGCATCGGCAGCTTAAATGGTTAATATTATTGAAGCCAACATGTTAAAGGGGCTCCCAAACAAAAAATTTCCGACATGAATGGAAATCCACCCAGGGCCTAAACATATGTATATACTTTGCATGCCCTGGGCACACTAATGTTTCTGGGTTTGTGCGAGTAAAATTGTAAAAATACACCTGGCTTGCAATTATGATTAATAAACTTACCTGTATGTAACAGACAGGGATGATTATCAGAAGATTTTTTCAAAACAAAAATCTTCTTAATTCTTATAATCATTATAAGAAGATTTAAGACAACGTAAGAAGATTTTCGACTATCAAATAAAAATGTGATGACGTCACATAGTGATGTCATTTTTTGGTATAAATAATATAATTAATAAATAATAATTTAGATGAAATCGGACTATAGGTAGTGAAGTACAGACTATATTGAATTATTTAACACTACAAAGTGTTAAACATTTTTTTAATAAATGTTTGTAATTTTAATTGATTATATAAAGATAATATAAATATAAGAAAATTGGTCCAAAACAAAAATCTTCTTATAATAATATAAGAAGAAATAAGAAGAAATAATATAAGAAGATTTTACATCCCTGGTACCAGATGTTTCTGCCATGTGCTAAAACACAGAACAAAATGGAACAAACAAGGGGGTGGGGTTATACTCGGAAGGCATCAACTATTTCGCTGACCTCAGAATGACATATTTTCATCAAAACTTTTTTCTTCAAGATTGGTTTAGAAACAAATTTGGAGTAGGGTTAGATTAGAGTTAGGATTATGGTTATGGTTAGAGTTGGTGTTGGAGTAGGGTTAGTGTTAGTAAAACCGTTGCTTTGTTACGTTTTGTCACCTTGAAGCCAGCAAAATAATCTCTTCCTACTTGGAATGGCCTGAGCGTTAGTGAATATGGTAGGGGCTTATGTTTGGGAGGTTTACGGTATCTTGTTCAAAAAGCTCAAATCTAATTGAGTTTACAAGATGTTATATTCAGAGCGTCGTGTTTCATCTTATATTTTTAATACATGATATTAAAAACAATACTTTACCCAGTCTTCACCTATGTCTCCCTGTTCTTCTTTCGTCGAATTCTCATTCTGTTCTTGATAGAATTCATTTAAAATGGCCAGGGTATCAGCAGGCAACTTAGGCTCATTATTACAGCTAATTGTAACATCATTATAAATGTCGCTCATACCGACAGAAAACTGCACAAAAAAACGGCTGAACCAAGTCACTTAATTGCAGAATCGTTGTAAACTCAATACGACGAGTAAAATCTCCAAAATAAGGACAAATGTCCAGTAGTTTTATTAAATACAAGGACAAATTTCCAATACAAAGACAAATTTCCAGAAATATTATATTAAAGCACTACAGAACGCTAGAGTGTAATAGCGCAAAGTACGTGCAAGACCGCTGAGCCCCAGATTTTTTAAGGAAATTTCCTTTCCGAAGGAAAATTCGCCAAATTACAGTATAACGAAGGAAATGTAAAGAACATACAATTTTGAAGAAAATTTAAAGAAAATTACAGAAAATTGATGGAAATTTGAAGGAAAAATTGCCAAAAAATTAGTGCCAAGCACGGCCAGAAATTGCGGGCTCAAGACAAGATTTTTCCCGCGTTTTTTGATTTGCTTTAAAGTCCATACAGACAAACCGAAAATAAAACCGTCAATGGATAAAAATTTTACAAGATATGCAAACCAAATAGCTAAAATTGCTTAAATGGTTCCGAAAATTTGAAAAACATAGAAAAATATATATTGAAGTTAAATTTCATTGAAAATTCACGTCGCGTTGGCAAATGCGTCCGGTTTTTATGGACTTTTATAATTTGGACTTATTTGTGGTCATTACAATTTTATACGCTGATCCAACCATTAAAGAGTTGAAATCTTTATAGCCAACCTCAAATATCAATTAATTAAAAAAAAAATACCCACCCTTAGCCAAAAACTTTACAACCATACGATTCAGTTGTCACAGATGTCCTTTACCACTTCTGTGACACGAGTTTGATAACTGCTTGTGAAATTTTCTGCAGGCTATAAAAGTTCCATGTTGTCTGCACATGTACTTTCATTGGAGACACCATTTGCTCCTGACAAATCGGGAAATAATCTTTGGAGACACCATTTGCCTCCTGACAAATCAGAAAATAATCAAGATAGTCACTCTGATTGATTGATTTACATATTGTATTGACATACGACGGTTGACACTGATTTTTATTCTGCAATATTTTAGTGATCCATGCTTTGGAAATGACTATACGCTTTAGTTTTCTGTTTTTCATTAACCCAACCTTTTACTCACTCAACATTTTGTTGAAA